CAGTCCTTACTATACTACACACTCTCTCTCTCTCTCTCTCTCTCTCTCTCTGGACCTTTTATTTCCCCTAGATTGCATGTAATGTGAAATGCCATCTCTCTCCTCTTTCCTAAATGAAAGTATTGCATGGCTCTCAGTATTTCTAGCTGTAGACTACACATCTTGCTCACAAAACAGATTTCCCATCTCCCTCAGTTTAAATTTTGGAGTATTCCTTTATCAAGTATTGTGTTGCAGTTTTCAGTGGTTTTATACGTTACTCTATAAAAAAGTCACATTGTATATATCTGTACTAAAATATGTTGTAAATAGTTATTTGTAGAAACAAAATCATTTGTCAAAAGACTTGAACCTCAAGTATAACTGCAGTATGTGGTAGATGTAGTGTCTTTGTTCTGGGTGTTATGTTTGAGTCATTTAAAACAAAATAATAATACAGTGAGGCAGTATTGCTAAAATAATGGAAACTAAATTTGCTGGCTGGTCTGCCCCCTTTTTAATGATTAAAGTGAGCAAAAACATTAATAATGATGTGCAATTGATTTTAAAAGTGTCATATATACAGTATCAACTAAGAAGTTTTGGGTACAGGATGTTTTAAATTGTGGAATCTGAGTCGCTCTGACTTGCACATCAACACTATGATCCTGCAATCCCATTCTGATGAGTGGATTCTTGTGCCTGCCCAGAGACCTGTTCACTCAGTTTACAAGTAGAATTAGGGTCCAAATTTGCTCAGTGTACTTGTCGAAAAAATGGTTGTTACTGCTATTGCTGCAAACTTAATCCTGGATCTAAAATCCAAGCTGTGTTCTTTCTGGTTCATGCGTCATAGCCAGTAATAAATGTATTTTGTTTCACCAGCAGTAATTGGTCCAGTAAAAGATATTATTTTGCCCATCTTCTCTCTATCATATCCTGGGACCACAAGGCTACAGCAACACTGCAAACAAGTAATAAATGAAGCATTTGTGATAATAGTTAACAGTTCTATTGACAGTATATGAGCCAGAAAAGAACCCAGCTCGCTCTTCCTTAGTGTTGTCAGCTATGCAGTGCTAATATGACTTAAAAAAATAGTAAAAACTTACCTTTCTCACTATAGTAGCAAATATGACTTTAAACACACACAGGGAATAATTTCTTTTTACTAAGAAATCTCTATTTTTTACCCAGACGCTTTTCTGACGAGGACCATGTTTTTAGTATGAATGTGCTAGAGTGTGCGATTTAATCTTTTATAACACATCATATTTTGCCAAGATAACTTGCTCAGAAGAGAGAAGAAAATAGTAAGCAGCATCTTAGAAGACCCAATTTAAATTGAAATACTCAACAATTAAAGCCAAGTTGACCGAAGTACTTTAAATTGAATCTGTCTTGATGCTGTGATCAACTGAGCTCACTGCAATATTATGAAACACCTCTCCTTTGAGAAATGAAAATGATACGTTCTCTTCATCCATTGTATATGTTGTAACTCCCATGAATGCTGTGTGTGTGCACTGAGTGCATATATACTTACATGTGTATTTGTTGGCTGTTTTAAGTTTTAAAGACCCAATTGTTTGCAGTATTTATTCACAGGGATTTATACCATGTGCTTGACTTGTACATCAATATCTTAAAAAAACCCAAATAAATAAAAAGTTAATTTCCTAGGAAAACTGTTTAAGTTGTAGGAATTCATACACAGTATTGTCATTGCCCATGATAAGTTATACACGTTTACATGTTGCTCAGACATGGTCAGTATTCCTGGTAGCTATTTTTAGAATGTTCTTTCACTGAAAGATTGTTTATCAAGTAACCCTACGGCTGTATTATGTGTTTGTAATAGTTCTCTTTTTTGAAATAACGTAAGAATTGGATATTAAGCACAAACTAACACTAAAAATGATGTGGTTCAAATAAGTGTGATAAGCACCAGTAGATGGTGCTCTGTTACACTGATATATTTAACTAAAAATATAATGCTTTAATATAGCATCTCCCAGCTGAAGATATTAGTGTTTTGGAGTGTGTGTTAGGCCTGATTGTTCCTTCTTTCCATCAATCCCTTCCCATAAAATCTTTAAAGTGTTTTTGTATTACATTAAAAAGTGTGTGTGTGTGTGTGTGTGTGTGTGTGTGTGAGAGAGAGAGAGAGAGAGAGAGAGTGGAATCAAGAACAC